GCCTTGGCATACATTTGGAGTATTAATTTTGTCCATTTTGGACACAAAGCGAATAAAATATTGTTTATATTGATTTCTTTTACTTTCAGCTATTTTCCTTTGATTCAAATCACATAATATCAACATAGCAGAAAAAACTAAAAACACCTTAGCAAATGAATGTTTCACAAAATTTAGTTTGGAGTATTAATTTTGTCCCTTTTGGACACAAAGCGAAATACTGTTTTTTAAATTAATGAAATTTTTTTTAACTATCTGTTATTTTAGAAAAACTGATGATGGTGGAAAAATACACCGAAACGTATTTTAATTGATTAATAGAGACAATAAATGACTGAAACCCAGGAATTAATTTTGATTTCTAAAAATTATATATTTTTTGGAAACTTTATTTTCGTACTGATTTTTTATGCTCAAAATCGGCAAATCTGGGCTAATAAGCTAATTGATTGATTTAAAGATTGTTTCATCTGAGCACTTCCGATTTGTTTTTTTCGACCTTAAATTGATCTTTTTTTTCGAATCTTTACAATTTGACCGATTTTCTAGGTTCAAAATTAGCAAAATTGATCTAATAAAGAACAATTTATTATTTTTAAAGATTGTTTCATCCAAGCGCTCCCAGTTTGCTTCTTTCTATCGAAAAATTATAATTTTTTGTCTAAACTACAGGGTTTAACTGATTTTTTATGTTCAAAGTGTGGCCTAATAAAGAGTATTTTATTGCCTCTAAGAATCATGAAGTTTTTTGATTAATTTAAAAATTGTTTCATTCAAGCGCTTCCAGTTTGCTTCATTCTATCGAAAAATTATAATTGTTTGTCTAAACTACAGGGTTTAACTGATTTTTTTATGTTCAAAGTGCGGCCTAATAAAGAGTATTTTATTGTCTCTAAGAATCATGAAGTTTTTTGATTAATTTAAAAATTGCTTCATCCAAGCCCTTCCAGTTTGTTTCTCTCTATCAAAAAATTATAATTTTTTGTCTAAACTACAGGGTTTAACTGATTTTTTKTATGTTCAAAGTGTGGCCTAATAAAGAGTATTTTATTGTCTCTAAGAATCATGAAGTTTTTTGATTAATTTAAAAATTGCTTCATCCAAGCCCTTCCAGTTTGTTTTTTTCTATCGAAAAATTATACATTTTTGTCGAAACCACAGTGATTGGTTGCTTTTTCATGTTGAAAGTGTGGCCAAATAAAGAATCTTTTATTGCCCCTCATATTAATAAAGAAAATTCATTCGCTTCTTGTTTGCTTCCTTCTACCTAAAATTGATATATTTTTGCTTTCATCTTCTTATACTCGCCTTTGAATTGCTGAAATTAAAATAGCGTCAATTACTGATAATAAAGAACTTTAACCGTATTGAGACAATAAAAAAAATTATAATGAGTAAAGCCCAGGGCGCAAAAAGAGGTTTTAATTCTCAAATGTTTATTGCGATGTTACTGTTAGTACCTACTTGCCCTGAAGTCTAACGTTTCTTTTGATATGGTGCCTAAAATTCTCCCAGTTTTCCAGTCCTTTATGTGTATATTTGACTACATTTCCGTCATAGTTTTGTTAAAAAAATACAAGTTTTAGATGCATTTTAAGCCCAGTTGAGGTCGTAAGGGTTTTCCCGAATCAAGCATTCTGACTCATTTATGTACTCGATAATCTACTAGATTTGCCTTTTCAGGTAAAGACCATCAATCGGACGATGATGACGATATGCGAAGTGACATCAGTAGCGACGATCTTAAGGACCCAAACTCGAAAAAGAAGAAAAGTGATTCAAAGTCGCAAAACACCGGAAAACCTCGCCGGGCCCGTACCGCCTTTACGTACGAACAATTGGTGGCACTTGAGAACAAATTCAAAACCACCCGATATCTTAGTGTGTGCGAGAGACTCAACTTGGCGCTCAGTCTGAGCCTGACCGAGACTCAAGTGAAAATCTGGTTCCAAAATCGGCGAACCAAATGGAAGAAACAGAATCCGGGCATGGATGTGAACAGTCCGACGGTACCGCCGCCCAATGTGGGTTCCGGTGGAGGTTTTCCCGGATTTCCCGGCCACCATACGCATTCCGGACTTTTGTACTCGCACCATGTTCCCTATGGTGGAGTTTATCCGCTTCAGGCGGCCAGCTCAGGAGGATATTCTCCGTACTTTCACTTAGCCAATCATGGGCACAATTTGGGATCGTGAAACTGTGTTAACATGTAAACGGGTGTAAATAATATGTTTTATATTGTGTAAATAGATGTAGGGGGTAGTTGTAAGTCGAGAATTTGCGAGGGAAAGAATGCTTTAATCTCTTAGAGAGGTGGAAGGCGTTAATGAAGTCTGATTAATGTACCAATAGATATTAGGCACTTTCCGGCTGTTTAACACGAAAAATTACCTTGTTTTGTCCCTGTGTATTTTGTTCCTCAACCTTCTAGCTCTCCTGATTGTTTATTATTCCTTTGTACACTTCTATAATCTGTTTTGCAGTGAAGAGCTTTTGTAATTATGTAAATAACCAATGAAATAGGCGGCATCTTCTACGTATTTGACAATTTGGGACTGCATGTTACCATATTTTAGAAAACCTTGTATAGCTGGTATCGTATTTATTGCCCGAGGGGAAAATTACACTGTAAATAATAGACTAAAGTATTCCATAATGTAAAGTGGTTTTATTTCTAACCGCCTTTCCAGGTTTTTTTTTGAGTAGGTATAAAATTCACATTTTCAAAACCCACAACAACATAAAAAACAAGCTAATACTTACAACATTAATCAAACATCGACACACTTTCAAACATCCCTAAAATTAAATAAGGCAAACAATCCTCATATGTTCAATTCAAAATCAAGCATTTCTAACCAAACGTGCCTTTTCTGGACGTTACACGGGCATTCGACACAGTCCTACCCTACTGTTTCCTTTTGTCATCAGTGTTAATAAATAGCCGCACAAAACACCCCAAAGTATACGCTTGTGTTGCATTATTGCCTTATTAGCACTCTCTATTTATATTATAATTTTGGAAATTTCAATGATTAGAAGCGCTGGGTTTTATGGGCTGGAACGTTGCGGTAATGCTCAGTTTCGACACGATTTTTTCTACGATTGTAGTAAAACAGACCCACAAAGATTATGAAACGAATGCAATTAAGGTTAATTTTCCTTGCATTATTTTTGTTAAAATAAGGCATTTTAAGCGATCGTTACTCGTTACACTATTTGCAGAAAAGTAAGAAATTCTTGAAAATATAAAACCCAGAACTTTTCCGTTAAAAAGGCAGGTTTGAGGCGGATGTAAAAAAAATTGTATTTATTATTTTTTATTAAATTGCGCCTCATGCGTTGCGCTGGATGCTATTATCAGATTATGCAACCTCAGATTTTCTCAACCGATGTTAGTTTAAAGCGTTTTAAAGTCTAAAAAAGTTGGAAGTAAATGGAAGTTAAGCTGCAAAGTGAAAATTCTACTGCCCAGTCAAAAGACGATTGAAAACCATACAAAAAGTTACCCGAAAAATTACCGTGTTATTATAATTTTCTCTTGAATTCAAGTTTTGGAAGATGAGTCACCGTTTTTCTGGTTTTTACTACTATTCGTTTTGTGTGATTTTGTCACTATTTTATCGAAAAATATTCAATCTTAAGACAAATTTTATTGCAAATAGAAAATATTTCTTATCACAAATTGATTTGCAATTGGTGCAATTTAAGGAAAATTTAAACTGCGCTTTTTGGCCACAGTACAAGTCGCCCATTATGAAAGAAAATCTACATAACAATGATGAGGAAAATGAGGAAATCAAAGTAAAAATGTATTCAGCTGGCGATAAAAAAGTGTCAACTGAATATAAGACTGAGTCTGCTTATACAAACAAAAAGTGTATGAAAAACGTGTCAAACAGATGCTAGAATTCGAATTTCCTTCAAAGAGCTTTGAGAGAAAACATGGGTTTTTTTAAATGAAACCATCACTCATCGCGTATTTATCAACAGTTTAAACCGTGCAAAGATTTTCCAGTTAAATGTTTGGATTATTTTTGTTCTTAATTTCCCAAAATTGTCCAAAAACCTCATTTTCTTCTGTATTCGAACGAGTTTTTGCAATGCGTAAGTTTAAGCAAATGCAGTATCAAAGTGACCATCGAACGAATTGAAAAAAGACGTATTTTCAAAGCGGTTCTAAAATTTTCATTTCGGTCATGTTTGATATTACATATTGCGTTTTTGAAACTTCTAACAAAACATTCCGAGAAATCAACAGTTTTCGGGAAATCAGGAAGAAGGTCTGCAGATTGTACGCAGATTACCGTAAACACACTTTCACTTGTCGATAAAAAAAAGCTACTTAAAAATGTGTGCTTAAAAACGAAAAATTCTTTAAAGGGTAAGAGAAATAGCCTGCTTTGTCCGATTTGAAGCAACGTCAAGAAAAGTGTTTCAAAGACATGGTAAAATTCGAATTTTCTTCAAAGCGTTCTTTGAAGAAAATTCGAAGATCGAGAATCTTCAAGAATCTGGGGTAAAACATGGATTGAAAAAATAAAACCAGCTCTTATCGCGCCTTTATCAACAAATATTTTTTATTAAACGAAATAAACTGTTCCTGTATCACGAGAGAAAACCTTCTTATATTTTCGAGTTATAAGTATATTTTGATTAGTATTATGTTCGTTCTTAATTTTTCCTAAAATTTTCCAAAATCTTGTTTCCCTTGCAACCTGTATTTCTTTTAAGTCACTTTCCCAAAAGATTGTCTCAATTTTTTTTTGGATTTTTTTTAAATTTTTTCAGCTTGGATTTAGGGTTTTTTATATGGGGGTACCATTCCTATGAACAGACAACTAAGTTTGTCTCTATGGGATGTTATTTTAAACGACATATGTATATGATCAAATAAATAAATAAATAAAAAGAATCTGAGTATTTTCCATGAAATAGTTTAAGAAAATACATAAACAAACTGAACATAAATCTGATTGAGGAAAAAACGGATTTTTGTAACGATTCTAAACTTAGTCATGTTGGAACGTTTTTGAAGCTTTGAAACTGAGAAAACATCAGGAATCAACACTTTCTATGAAATGAAAATAAAGATCTGCAGATGCTACAATGTTCATAGCAACATCCCTGATTGATCTACATTTTTTTCTGGAAAGCTCAGGATTTACTTTAAACAGCTTTGGAGATACGCGTAGAGACTGAAGCAAGTTCACGGTCAGATGAACGAAAACTTCCACCAATGTAAATCTGAAAATAAAGCACTAATTTGATCGAAAAAGTAGATGAATGTGATTAATCGTAAGAAGAAAATATTGGGAAAAAATCAGAATAAGAATAAAAAAGATACAGAGGCTGAATGTTTTTGAGTTGTGGTTGGATTGAATAATTCACAAAATAAGTCGGACATATAAAATTATATGCGAGATTGTTATGCAAGGGATAAATATGGAAAGAGCAGGAATTTCTGGAATGTTTTTGAATAATGGAACGTAAAGAACATCAAAATGGAAGAATGCTTCAATTGCCTCAGAAGGCCATTAATATAGCAGCTTGAAGATAGATCGAAACAAATACTTTTTAATTGGGAAAAGGACGCTGCATGCATTCCATGAGCCTGGATGTTGAGGATCCAGACTATTTCTAATTTTTTTTGGAAAACCCCTGATATTTAAGTGACGCTGTATAAAAAGTTAGTAAAACTGCGCCTCTGAGCAATTGCCACGCGACCCGAGTAACAGAGCAGAACTAAACTAAATCGAGATCGTTTTATGGCCCGGATAGTCTCATTGCGCATATAATAGACGAGGCTGTTTGTGCAGTTTAACCACTTCGGAAGAGGAGCGGATCCGAATTAGCATTTTCCAGCAGTTCCGAGCTGCTCCGCATTGATTATTTAAATTTAATACGGGGATAAAGCGAAATCAATTATCTGGAGGGGTTCGGTTTGCGTAGGTGCGATCCAGTCTTGTACTAGTTAATTGGTTTTCTTCCGATTGGCTCCTTGATGGAATCGAATAGACGTGCCATGTTCCGGCTTTGTTCAGAGAATTGGATACACTTCGATGTGGAATTTGGCGCGTTCGATTTGCATCTGAAGTCCATTTATCGGAATGAAGGCGGCTGGAAAAAATGGGTCACTCCAGATTGCACGTCGAGCTCTGCGCCTTCCTAAAGTGGTTGAGCAATGTGCCATGCGAGTCCATTCATATTAAATGGGGTTGGCGGCAGCGCTTTTGAACCTGAATAATTGAGGAGGCCGTTTCTCCGTATCCTCCCAGGTGCCGTTTCGCGAAACAGCTTTAATACGAACCGACGGCGCCGTATCGACTCTGCCCGCGCTCCTATTCATTATTTACCGCGATATTACATGTTGCATTTTATGGTCGGG